TAGTATGTCAGATATAAATGATGTATGGATTTTAACAAGAGTTGTATGAGCCCCCAATAAAATGATCTAAAAGAAAAAAGTGGATATAACAAAGACACACTCTACTATGACACAGTCTTCGACATGATAAACAGCCTGGCAGCAAGTTCAACGTGTTTCTCACGCAAACTCCCCATTCTCACCCTTCTGCAGTATGAGTGATCTCCCTCAGCGTGGGTCGAATACACTTTGATTCCTGTCTTCCAGTAAGCACTTGCTAGGCATGTGTCTACAATGTGTCAGACGGATGACGAGGCCCTGCTCTCTGTAGAGGGTTGCCGGCCTGGGTGAGGACAGACAGGAGGTACTGATGACGACGTACCTCTCATATTTAGCCCTTGGCCTAAACCAGCTAGCCTTGTGCCTCATGTTCTTTGCTTTTCCGCTTTGATCTTTCTACAGAGCCTTTGAGATCTCAAGTATATTGTTTTGATAGCTTCTCTCTGAGTACCTGAGTCTGCTATCTCTCCTACTCAGTCTCCTTCCAACTTCTTTTAGGACAATCTCCCTAAAATTGCTTTCCATATTTCACTCCCCCTTCAGAAATGGATATGAGCAATCTTAAGCCTCCAACAATAAAGCTCCACTTCTCTGCCTGGCTTCCCAGGCTTGACCTTTAGGGCCCCTTCAGGTCAACCTAGTCTGATCTCCCAGTCTCTTCTTCTACTTGGCCATTTTCCTCAAGGTCTCTCAGATATCTCCAACAAAGGTTACCTTACCTTCTCTTTTCCCCATTGCTACAAAAGCCAGCCAGATCCCACTACTTTTCTATGAACTACACTAGCCCTTACCTCTTTATTTTTCCCCTGTAAGAAAGACTGATTTTGCTGATTGAATACAAATGGATTTACGAGAAAATCCAGGTAGAGCCAGAATAATGGCTCTGGGGCACCAAAACTCTATAGTACTCCGACTTTTACAAAACTGGGAAACTTTTCCCCGCAATTCTATTCATGGCTTAGAGAAGGGCTCTAATAGTCCAAGCAATAGCGTCAAGTTGATGCCGACTCATAGCACCTCGTTAGGACAGGGAAGAAGTGCCACTGGGCGTTTCTGAGACGGTCACTCTTTACAAGCTGAAAGCCCTGTCTTCCTCCCACAGAGCTGCTGGTGCCTTCAAACAGCTGACACTGTGGTTGGCAGCCCAACGCGTAAGCCCTATGCCACCAAGGTTCCCGAATGTCAAAGCCAGAGTAAATGTTTTAGGCTTTGTGACTCAGGCGGTCTAACTTAGCTCTTCCATTGTAGTACAAAAGCAACCACAGATGGAAAATGTTACATAGGCATCGGGGGTAAAAAAATACCCCAAACCCTTTCTTTGCAAAAGTGGGCAGTTGGTACCGTTCAGCCCCCAGGCTGCACTTCGATAATTCCAAATCTAGAGAAAGAAGAGCAGGCACAATCAGGGTCTTCTCTGGATGGCAAAGGCCACCAGAAGTCTCTCAGATTAGCTTCTTATTGCCACAGGATGTACGCCAAGTAGATTCCCCAGCCTACAGTGAATGGGAAAGTGGCTAATGGAGATCATGAAACACTTCTCTACCTCTGTCCTGGAGCTCGGTGAAGAAAGTGCACATTGTCTCATTCCGCCCTGCTCTCTGGCCTAAGCTCACCTGTTGGGTTTTCAGGGCATTAAGAACTCACCTTTACCCACACTTCTACGTACCAGGTATTGTTCTCTCACTCAATCCTTACTCCAACACGAAAACATGTTTATGCTTTAGCAGAATCTCTCATTGTCCAATGGAAGAAACAGATCAGTCCATGTTAGCCGGGGTTTGCTGACAGAAGCTCCGTCGGTGGCTTGGAGCTTACCTGGGTGCGTGCTGGGAGTAAGATCCCACCCCCAGCGAGACTGATTTGAATCTGAGTGTGATAAAATGATGACAACTGTAGTCCTCACAGTAACCCTTTCAATGGGATATATCTTCTTGACTTTACCCACCGGGAAAATGAGCTCTTGGGGCTAAGTAGTTTGTCCAACTTCATCTATTTAAATGGTCTAAGCCGAGAGTCAAATCCAAGCAGGTTTGCTAAATAAATAAGCCTTTTGAATCCTGACTTTAAAATCACACAACTGGCAAGCATTGTACGACAGATTACATTTGCAACAATGACCACCCTCGTGCTGCTCCTTAAAAAAAGGTATGGCTGCCGAGGCTGCTGACGTACATTGCACATCTCACAAAACTAGGTTCCTTGTTCTGAGGTTTCAGGTCACAATTTCATGGGGCGTTCCAATAAACTGACCTAATAGTGTGTTTAGTAGTGCTGCGGTACCTCTGATTGTGTTGCATGATGCCTGGGTTCTTAAAAGTTGGCAAGGCCACCCAAAGTACAACAGCTGGTCCCTGTTTGCCTGGAGGAACAGAGGAAGGAGAGGAATAGAAGGAAGAAATGGAACGGCCTTCTTTGTCTTGAGACCCGAAGAACCAGTGCCTGCCTGCCATTAACTGAACATTGTGATTGACATTTCTGCAGATGAAGGAGCCGTCGGTGGCTTGTGGGATCTGAGCTGGGTTACTAACCACAAGGACAGCGGTTTGAACTACGCGGTTGTTCCTCAGATGAAAGATGAGGCTTTCTGTTCCCCCAAAAGATTTACAGCCTTAGAAAGCCACCAAAGCAGTTCTACTCTGTCGTTTAGGGTTGCTGTGAGTCAGAATCGACTCCATGACAGTGAGTTGAGCTTGGAGTTTTGGTTCTATAAGTGAATCCTGATTGAGAGAGGGAAAATGCAGGACAGAATTTCCAGTTCTAATGAACTCCAGACTTCCTGGAGCCACGGAGGCTGGCTGAACCCCCAACACAATTACCTTAAGAAAATTCTTATACCTTAAACCAAATATAGATCTTGGCATTGTCTTAAAACCAAACAGTAGTTTAGTAAAGAATGTCTGCCGTGAGCACTGTACTCTGGAATTATCTATATGGGATCCAACTGACAAGAGTGACTCAAAAGATTAGATGGGAACATTTGGGGTAGTGAGTTTATGTTACAGGGGAAAGAGCAGCTCAATTGTATAACTTGAAGAACGCATCCAGTCGCTGAATTGTACATGAAAAAACTTGAATTATGTTTTTGCTGTGGTGTACATTCTCAACACCAAATTACTGTTTTTAATAAAGACGTCAAATACTTGCTCTCTGTTGAGTTAGTCAATTAATATGGCCCTTCTAGCCATGACTCCTGATGTGAGGTGCTGGATGTGTGCTTGTGGCTGTGATCTCATTTGGAGGAAGTTCTGCTACTGGATCAAGGTGGGGTCAAATTCTGACCTTAGCCGAGGGTGTGAACCAAGTCACACGCTTTGTTTCATTGGGGACATCCTTAAGATGAGTTTACTAGAGGGGTGAACTGAAGGCACTATTCTTTGTTTTCTCTGGGGGTACGGTCAGCTAAAAGATAAGCCACACCTCCATAAAATCCATCTGGGACACAAAGGAAAATGACAGGACCATTGGGAAAAGCTTGTCCAAGATCTCTGTCTGCAGGGATGGGCGGAGGCCACCAGGATCAGACCCACCAGATACTGTGGCACAGAGACTCAGAGCCGAGACTCTGCGACTGTGATTCAGAGTGACAGGTGGGCTGACTTCCTGGCCCACGGAGGCCAAGGCCATGGGACCACACGGCTGAAAGACTAAGGACCAGAGAGAGAGAGAAGGACGCGGCTGCTGGCTGCAGAGGGGTGTTGCTGTGGATTAATGACTGCATCCTCACGGTCTGTGGATCCTGACTGGTGGCAACCTATTAACTTCCCTAGCAGAGCTCCTTCATTGTGAGTGCTGTCTGGGAGTCCTGTGAGGCCGTTGCCATGAACTCAGGAACCCAGCATCGGTGAGGAGTGGTGGGGAAGGAACAGCTGTTGTCAGAAGAGGTAAAGAAAGATGGAGGTTGGAGTCATGTCTGACCACTGCCTCGTGGCAAAAGGGAAGCCAGAGGAGGTCAGGTATGTCCACCTCCATTGCTGTTGATCGGCCCTGTCAATTGATGAATTCAGTCGGTTTCAAGGGGCCTACGGTCAAGGGTAGTGAGAGCTGTTTGCAATCAGCTGCTAATCTGGAGGGTGGAGACTAACCCATCTGCAGTGTAGTCAGAGCGAGCCTGGCAACCTGCTTCTACTGTAAAGAGGACGGCGGAGGAAATCCTGCGGAGCTCAGTTCTGCTCAACTCACGGGCAATAGTTTCATTTTTGTTTTGGGTTTGGACGGGGTCTAGGAAGCCCGAGAAGCGGCCCAAGGAAGGGAGAACTGGTGGCTAGGAGGATCGGCAGAAGCAGGCGCAGCCTCGTTCCCTAGACCGCCAACCCAGATCTCTGGCCGCGCCTTCTAAGCCAAGCTGCTTAAGGCGATCTTTCTGTTGCTGCCACTTCCTTTACACTCACAGGTGATGCCAAGGCCGAGGGAGGCATGTTCTTACCAGCCCGTCATGTTGAAGTCCCTGTAGAGCATCTTCTTTCCAAGTTCCTTTCTCTGCACTCGCCTTGGGAACTCCAAATGTGTGAACTCATTTCCCAGCAAGTGAGGCTGCATGAAGGCCTAACAGCAAAAAGAAAAACAGTAACACATATTTAGAAGAAAATATATATACATGTTTGACTCAAGAATGTTTTGCAAATCAAGACAGTTGGTACTTCAGAAATAAGCCCCTCACGCCCCTCCCCATCCCATATTTAAGGGAAATAAATGGACTTAAACGAAGAAAGGTCAGGTGATCTACTTCTGAAAACCAGCCAAGGACAACTCCAGGCTCCTGGGAATCACCTGAAGCCAAACAACAGGCAGGCCTATAAAGTGAATAATTAAACTTAATCGGAGGATGGAACCTCCGATTGCAGAACCCTGTAAGACCAACAGGGCAGCATTTGCCCAAGAACAAAGTTCAGAGGGCAAGGAAAAGGAGGGCCACCACCCGGGACTCCCAGGGGGAAGGGGAAGAACGCCGCTGACACCGCGAGGCTTATGGGAAACTGACTCGCCTTGCGAACCTTCACCCCAACTCGATGAATCGAACGGCTTGATCTGCGACAGACACGAGTTGTATTGGCTCGGGACCACGTCTGGTTTTGCTTTGTTGTGCAAGGGGTCACCAAGGGTTGGGGCCCTGACTTGGCAGTTTCCCACCACCACGACCTCCTCACATTGACATTTAAGAATCTAAGTATGAACAAACCGAAGAACCTAAATATGAATGAAATACCAACAGGTCCACATTATACACTCAGCTTATACAGGGACCATGAACGTCATGTCTAAAGGGATCGTCATTGTAGTTGAAGACACGCGATCCAGGGCGTAAGAGGAAGGGCTGAGCTTCCCCCTTAGGTTTACTTTCCCAAACGAAACGGTTTCCCTTCTCGGAAGGTCGCATGAAAGAGCTCCTAGGGAAGGAAGCTGACCCCCATTCTCCCTGCTGGCTCCTCGGCTCACACCCCTTGTGAACCTGCTCTATTTCCGGAGTCTGAACGTGTGGCTCCACGCAAACACAATGGCCTGAGAGGACGGGTTGGGACTAGATACACCCGCTGGCCTGCCGCCATTGTGCTCTGCAGTAATTTGATCGGGTAATTGGAAGCCTGTTCCCAAGCAGATGGCTTCTCCCCCTCCCCCTAAGCTCTGTTCACACTACAAAAATCTTGAGCAAACAGCCACTTAGGGAATTGCTTTGAAACAACAAATAGTCTCATTGCCACATTCTAAATTCAAATGCAGCTCTCCAAGAGATGACATGCTCACGCATTCGCTGCCCTGCTCGGGGACCACAGCCCTGAGCATCCCTGCAGTCGAGCTCTTCCGCTGTAGCTCTGAAATGCCCCTGCTCCTCAGCAGCCTGGGCAGGATGCAGCATCCCTTTCAGGGGGATGACGAGTAGGCAGAATGAATTACAGCCTGGTCCTGTAGGAAATTCCAGGGATCCCGGCAAAAGGGCAGATGGTCAGGCCCTCAGTTTACTGGAAAATGAGCATCTCCCACGGTGTCTTGTCAGGGCCCAGTGCAGATAGAACTCCCACGAACTCTCATGGAAGGTTGCTGGGCGTAGCCTGGTATTAGGAATTGGAAGCTAAGGGTATCAGGGGCCAAAGAAGTGGAATTGTACTCAGGGTAGTCAGACTTGGCCAGGCAGAGAATGACAGAGTAGTAATTCTGAGCAGTCTTGGGAGGGGGTGAGGTGGGGGGAGGGCCTGATGGCTTGCTGTTCCACCACCAGTTCCTGTCAACTCCTGATGGCCCCGTGTGGGGTGGAGCACAATTGGGTTCCATAGTTTAAAATCTATATCCACGTTACTGTGACAGAGACTGAGAGAGAGAGATCCGTACCCACACTTGCCATTTCCCAAAGGAAGACACTGGGAAGTACACAAGGATAAAGCACAACTTCGCTCAATGCAAACGCTTGCACAGTGTCTGGGAAAATGCCACGGTTCCATGCACTGTTTGAAGCCCCTGGCATTTTGTGCACAGACAGGTTATTATCTGAAGGCCATTGCTGAGTACATTTCTTCACAACTCCAAGGGACCAAGAAGGCTGAGAGGAGCCCTGCTGGAGTAGTGGGTTGTGGACCTATTGGGCTGCTAACTGCCAGGTCGGTAGTTTAAACCCACCAGATGTTCCAAGGGAGAAGAGGAGGCTTTCTACCCCCAATAAGAATGACAGTCTTGGAAACCCACGGGGGCAGTTCTACTCTCCTCTAGAGCTGCGATGAGCTGGAAACGCCCCAGAAGCAGTGAGCTTGAATTTTAAGAGGAGGGCTGTGTATGCAGAGGTCAGGGTGGGCTGCTTCCTAACAGGAGGCTCAGCGGGCCCTAGGGTGTTGTTTTAACCAGGTGCCCAATCCCTCTGGGCTGACGTACATTTGCCAGGGGAGTTGGATGGGGAGATCTACTGAGGCAGGATAGCCAGACCTCCCTAGAAGCTCTGATAGCTGCAGGGCCACCTCAACCCTGCCCCTGAGGATGTGTGCATTGAAAGGGGCCTTGTGTCCTGTGTTGCAGTGACATCTGTAGCCCCTGCTCCGTGTGCCGCCTTCCGAAGCCTCAGACCAGCTGCTGACTTTGCCCTCAGGAAACGGAGGGGGGGGGGGCTGCAATGTATCTAAGTGGCTCGCGGTGCGGTGCGGTGCAAAGGGCTGATACCCGTGGCTGCTCACCCAAAGGTTGGAGCTTGAATCCATGTGGAGAAAGAAGGCCTGACAATCTACCTCTGAGACAGCCAGCCACTGGAACCCCTGGGGAGCAGCATTCTATGGTGGCACACATGAGATTGCCCTGAATGAGAGTCACTCAGCAGCTCCTGTGGTGTCCTTTAAAAGATGCTATTTATGAGATGCACCATGATTTTATTACTGTAAGTGGGGCTGGGGATTGGGGGGAGTGCCGCCAATTAAATTATGTACAACCCTACTTCAAAACATTTTTTCTCTTCGAAAGCTCTCCTTCAGGCTTAGACACATTTTCCCCATCTGAGGATACTGGTTAAGGTTTTGCAAAACGTTTAC